TAGATTGTCAGACATTTCTTCCTGGTCCGTTTGGTTTGGAAGCTCTACTGAATACAGTTCTGCATCAGTAGAAATGAAAGCCTCCAATGACAGGAGCAGTGGCTGGGAACAGAAGGCAGGAATCCTGCATGTAAAGGGTGAACTCTACCATGGAACCACCACTGTACCCACTGGTAACAAATACACATTATGAAGTGAGTATCCTGGTGTGGCGCTGTAGGATAAGCACGAGACTGCTAACCCTATGGTGTGGTTCAAACACACCAGCTGCTATGAGTCAGAACTGACTCTGTGGCATTTAACAACAAACAACATCTTTTCACAGTGCCACAGTGGTCATTTCTAGAAAAAAAACAACCAAACAAAAACCCTAAAACTATTTTGAATTCCTGGTGATATATATTTAAGAGTATGGTTGATGAACAGCAACCACTTAACAAAAGATACTATTAGCAAGACTATAAGTCACATTAGAAAGATCTTGCTAGCCTGCTGCTTAGGGCCCTCTCTGCTTCCTTTCCTGAAGGCTTGAGGGTGCGGTTTCTTTCATCTTCTGGTTGCTAAAGAGTCTGAGCTAACAGAGTGCCAAAGGCGCTGAATTTTCCTGGATTCTCACTCATCATAGCTCCCTGCTCACTCTTCTCTTTGCCTCCCCTTTGGTTTAGTTTGCCTCTCTTCTCTTTCTTTTGTATTTATATTGTTGGATTTAAGGAATCTTGTGAGGTTAAGAATTATTTGCTTGCACTTTGACCTCAGTCCAGGGATCCAGAGACTGTGGGAAACTTTCAGTTACATAAAAAAAATTGTAACAACGAAACACTACTTGTTGTCCCAAGCACTTATCCACTACTGAACAAGTTTGTCAATGGCAACCTGCCTTGAAGTTTCGGCCCTAGTTTTGCAGTTCACAATCTTAGGCCCATGGAGGTAACGTGAGAACTTTGGGTTGAAGAATGCCGAGTTACGAGTTAATTCAATGGCTGGTGGTCCAGCTTCGGAGTATTGCTTAAAGTTTTTTGAACAATCTCAACCATTCCCAACGTTTTGGATGTAGTTTTTGCATTTGTTAGTTTTTAAAAATACTTACTGCTTTTGTGTGCCCAGTGAAGGATGATGTAATTAGCAAGTTATTTCAATGAATCCTATTTTACCTCACATTAAAAAAGGCAAAGTCACTGTTATTCTTGTTGATTCAGACGCCTCATCTACTCTATTTTTATTATTAGTGTTTATATCATATGGCAGCAATAACTCAATGGCAGACATCGATGCCAATGCATTTTATACTTAATGCCTTCAATCTTCATAATAAAGATAAATAACAAACAAACGGGGGTGTGTGAAAAAATGAGATGGGCTTTGTCTAGTATTAACAATTGTATGCCATTTAGTGGTGGAGAAAGTCAGGATCTACGCTGAAGTTGTTTTTTTATGTGTATATTTCAATCACAATCACTTTGTGTATATTTAATGAATTAGGACTTTTACATTTTAAGTTTTCTAACATATTTAACAGTGATCATTTGAAATATAGACCTACAAACAAGTCTTAAGCCTTTTTAAAAGTTATTTTTGAATTCACTAAACAACAGACTAGATGGCTCCACAGTTAGCTCTTTTCATCTCTGCCTGCTCTCTTTCTCTCCACCTCCAGAGAATCTCATTCCCAGAGGTTAACATCTGGGCAGAGGGCTGTAGACACAAAAGACTATTGTATTGGAAAAAAGGCCTAAAAGTCTGAAGACTTGTGTTGGTCTGGACTCCTCTCCCAGGTGTGAGATCTAAACAGGTCATTTACCGCTTATGCCAATGTCTTCTGATGAGGCAGAGGATCCCCCAACACCTTCCAGCTCCAACCGGGGAGTGGAGCAGTGTGTAGACAGTTGGACCACTTCTGTACCTGTGCTGGAGTGATGTAGAAGGCTGAGGGGTTCTGCCAGTGTGAGGCAATTCCCTATCTGCTCTGAGAAGCCATGGCCCATCACTGAAGGGTGGAGAAGCAGGCACAATAAACTGTACACAAAACTCATTCATTTGGTAACTTGAGATTGCATTTGGAATTCGAACCCACAGTGCATTTGTGATTTCTGATTCAAGTCCAAAAGTTATCCAGTCACAGAGTTTCTGATGTTGGCTGTCACTATGGTGAGGGCTAAGTTAACTACCCCATGTCCATATAAGGCTGAATTAGCCAAGTGCACTGGGAGTGCAGAGCTCTGAAGTCAAGACGTTTCATCAAGGCTACAGTAGCACCAGAGGGAAAATATACACCCGGAGACCCCAGGGGAAACTGTGGGAAAGAACAAATGACACACACGGTTCTTTGACTGGCAAAATCTGTCCAATGGCTATTTTTACGTATTACATTACTTTAAAAACATACGATTAACCAAAAAACAGAGCAAAAATAGCCCTGCTTTCCACAGGAATGCATCTGAGCAGATTTGCTCATTAACAAATATATGATACACACACATGAGGTTTGTGGTACTGAAAGATGTAACATCTTTAATAAATGCTTTAGTAAAGTCAGTACACTTGTCCTAACAATAAATCTTTTCATTTATACACTGGACTTTCCCTACAGAAAATGGCGAATGGTATTTTTTGCCTGTCTTCACTAGGCCTTTGCTTACCTTTCACTGTCAGTCACTTGCATCATCTTATTGATCACTATCTAATGACCCACTTGAATCATTTGGGCAGCCTTGCATGTTAACTGTTCAAATAACCCAGTGACTGCATCTTGGTGGTCCCATCCTCACCCTAACTATGGGCTTGAACATAACACAGTTCAAAGTATAATAGAGAGTGAGCAATAGTTCAGGTCATCTGAGCAGTACAGATAATGAAGTCCTGTGGTACAAGCTCCAAACGTGGGTATTGTTTGACTGCGGCTTTTGAATAAACTCCTCAGGCCATTGCCAAATCTCAGTTTAATTTGATCAATGCTGATAACCTGTCTGTATAATTACAGCATCCTAAAGTCCACCTGGGTTTTAGATGACTCTTTTTAATTAAATTGACCAGAAAGGTGTCCCTTTTCTGCTTTGCTTGGTTATGTATAGAAACAGACTCAGAGTATTTCTCTTCATTAGGGATTCTGGGAAGTGGAAAGGTCTCAATGCCTATACTAAAAAAGAGAAATCAAGGGAATCTTCGAAATCTTCCTCTTAAAAGACCTTTTACACTGCTATGTAGATGCTATTATAAATACTTTTGGAATAATCAAAATGAGCTAGCTTTACTAAAGAACAAAATCCTTGCTGAGGCATCATGGGAAATTTAATAGAGTGTTTCTGCATTAAATAATTATACGAAGTGGAAAAGATTGACCCATAGCCAACTATTCAGTGTACTTGGGTTGTGTTTGATTACATGAAGAGGAAGACAGAGAACAACACTGGAGTCTAACTCCTTCCCCTTCTGGGGAGTCTCAGTTTTTAATATCCCACTGACTTATCTACTCAATGTCCCTATGAAGCTGCATCAGCCATATGGTCACGGACTGGGCATTTTTGTCACTGCAATAGTAGCAACCATAGAGAACAATCTATTCTAAGAGACCCCAGAGGAATTTTAAATCTCACGAAATGGCTTCTATATATTTAAAAAATATTTATCCTTATTAAATGCTGATAAATTATCTCCAACCATTATTTCTTAATGTATAAAGTCTCCACGCAAAGAAGAGGAATCTTTTACTACCATAAAGGATTTTAAAGATTATAACTCATGGTAAACACAGGATCTGGAGAAGGGACACGTTCCAACGGCAAAAACCTTCTAGAATGTTGTGATCTTTGTTGTTGAAAGAATGATTAAATGTTTATTAAACAAGACGACTACATTTAAAAATATATTTCCTATGACAAAATGGTATCCATTTATCTTTTGGGAGGGTTTCAATCAGTAGATGATATGTAGGTAAAATAACCCTTTCCACCAGAAGACAGGTTCCAAACAAGAGGTTTATTTTTCCTAGTGGGTAGAAATGGCTATTTTCAAATTGACTTTAGAATTCCACTCAGAATCCTTCGGGACATTGTAGGATTGTTACAATTTGGAGCTCAAATAACAACCAGGCAACATTTATAAGAATTCCCAGTTGCCATTCATAACCTGACACTTGCCAACGTAAGAGCAGATACGCATGTGAGTCCTAGGGGAAGAAGTATGGTTTAAAGGCATAAAACCTTAAAAAACTTAGGTCATAAAACAAAATCTCCTCCCCAAAACTCCACACACAAAAGACCGGGTTAAATTAAAACAAATATTATCTTTTTAAGGTCAGCAAGTTAAAGATTGAAGAAACCATCTTTAACGGCAATTAAAGAGTGAGAGACTAATTATTTTGAACACGTTAAAGCTCAAATCAGGCCAATACTTCAAATTTTGACAGGTTTTACAAAGAACATTTGGAGAAGCCTTTATTTCTATTATGTATGAAATAGGGCACATAGAGGGCCCTTAGGGAGTATGTACAATTATTGTAAGAGTTAGAATGGTTGATTACCAATGGTCTCTGTTTTACATAGCCATTTATCTTGCTGTATAGAGATATAAAATTTGATACACTATTTCATAAAATATATGTTTATGTATAATAGGGTATGTATAAGCGCATGACTGCATTATTTATGTGTGTATATACATACGTATGAGGGGGCTTTAAAAAGTTTGTGGAAAACTGGAATTTTTGGAAACCCCCTCATATTTAGAGCAGTTCACAACCAAAAACATGGCCAAGAAAGTTAACTTTGTTTTTATTTATTAGGAAAGTGACCCAGTTTTGTATCACATTACTGTTTATGCTGGTAAAGAAAACGATTTCTTTCTTAAATTTCTTAGCAGAGTATGTAATTGACTTCATCAGGTAATTTAAAGGCACTTTCACTTAAAAGAGGAAAGAAAACAAGAAGAAAATACTCATTGTGAAGAACTTCAATAAGCACTGTCGCTGGCTTGTCTGTTAGAACAAGGACAATGTTGGGACTTACCCGTCCTCCTTTCTCTGGGTAACACTGGCAGCCCCCACTGCAGTCTCTCCCTCCACAGGGCACATCCAACTTCTTCACACCCTGCAGAAAAACAAAGCACAGCTTACTTAAAATGTTTTCAATTACAAAATATATCTTGGTACCACCTATTGAGAGCCCTTCCAACTCCAACTAAGTAACAATCCATTCAAAATATTGGAGAAACCTTTTTGAAGCACTTCAGTGGTTCAAGTTTCAGCCAAGGAATAGAAAGTCTGTAATGGTGACAACACTAGCGAGGCACACACACCAGACTGGTCAACCATCCCAGATCCAAAGGGCAGCATTTACCTAAAGCCAGGGGAGCCGGTAAAGAAGAAGGAAAGGAAACAGGAAACACAAGGAGGAACTAGGATAAGTGATGTCCAACGAAGGGGATTGCAATCACTGAGCTGAAACGAAGTGTTTGATTTGTTGATGTAAAACTGGTGATCTGCTCTGTAAACCTTCCCTCAACTGTCAATAAAAATTAGCAACGTTATGCACAACAGAACAAAACACTGTCTGGTCCTGCACCAACCTCACAATCATTGCTACATTTGCCCATTGATGCTGCCAATGTGCCAATCCATCTTGTTGGGGGTCTTCCTCTTTTTTCTGACCCTCCACTTTACCAAACAATGATATCCTGATAGTATGTCTGAAGTATTACAGACAAGGTCTGGCCATCCTAGCTTTCCAGGAAGCATTCTGGCTGTACTTCTTCCAACACAGACTGGTTTGTTCTTTTGGCAGTCCATGGTAGACCTTTTTAAAATGCTTAGCACATCAAACAAGAGTCCCTGGGTGGTCTAAGTGGTTGACATGCTTGGCTGTCAACTGGAATGTTGGTGTCTACCTAGAGGCAACTAGGTTGATAGGTCTGGGGATTTACTTGAGCAAAATCAGCTATTGAAACCTTATTGAGCAGGTGTACTCTGCTCAATAAGGTCAACAGCTACAGGTAACTTGGTCAGTAACAAGTCAATGCTAAGTTGAATCCGGAGACTCTAAATAACACAGACCGTTCTCTGAATTGAAGATTTTATGTGTAGTCCAGAAGAGCAGAGTGAAGCCACAATTATGCTAAGTGTTGTGATGCGAATGAGAAGCTGTGAACAAGAGAAGTTGATCTTAATTCTCCCTAGGAATGTGGGGCTGTATCCTGCAGGAGTTGGGGTTTGAGAGCAGAGGACAGGAGCGGGTGGCAGGTTGAGGAACAGCCTGATTTTTGGTGAAGTTGAATTCGGCAGGGCAACTTTAGGCCCCTTATAACCTAAAGTAGGTCCTGGAGAGCCATTCAGGATGAGGAGGAGGATAAATCACATCATGAAACAATGACAATCCTCTCATCTCTGTTAGTGCTAGTCCCAGATACAGGGGGTCTTATCAATGAAGTATGTAAAAGAAAACCACATTTGTGTTGCCCTTTCACACCATGAGGAGGCCTGGTTGTGCAGTGGTTAAGTGCTGCTCAGCTCCTAACACAAAGTCTAGTGGTTCAAACACACCAGGGACTCTAAGAGAGAACGCTGAAGCTGTCTGCTTCTACGAAAATGTGCGGCCTCAGAAGTCCCATGGGGCAGGTCTGCCCTGTCATGCCAGGTCGCTAGGAGTCAGAATCAATTTATGGCAATGGACTCATTTTTTCATTTCAGGTTTCCACTATGTTGTTGTTGTGAAGAGCCATCGAGTCGATTCCGATTCATAGCAACCCTGTATAGGGTTTCCAAGGAGCAGCGGTGAACTTGAACCACCGACCTTGCAGTTCAAACGACTTTGCAGTCTGACGCATTAGCCCACAGTGCCACACCAGGACTGCATGCATGCCTTCAATAAGGAGGAGGAAGGGACTTTATGGGAAATAAATAAGTAAATAAATATCTAGTAGGGTTAGAGTGATACATGTTTTTTGTCAGATACCGGGAGGTAACTCTTTAATGAGTTTAGTGAGTAACTGAGGGAGTTTTCTGCTGGATAATTCCAGCAGGGTTGAAGGAGGCATTTTTTACACCTTGATATCAGTAGTGCAGATTTTAAAAAGGTGGGCTTGGAGTTTGGAGGGTATAAAGAAGTATCTTAATTCTTCCCTTTAGACTGTGCTCACAAGTATTACATAATATAAGTTGGAAGCTCTGGTAGCGTAGTGGTTACGAACCGGGCTGCGAACCTTAAGGTCAGCGGTTTGAAACTAACAGCTGCTCAGCGGAAGAAAGATGAGGCTCTCTACTCCCGTAAAGATTTACACCCTCGGAAACCCTGTACAGGGTCACTATGGGTCGGAACCGACTCAATGGCACTTAACAACAACAACAACCACCTCCCGTTTCTCCAGAACCCACAGTTCAGCTTGTCATTCTGTGACGGCTTGCGTGTTGCTAGGATGTTGAAAGTTACGCCACCTGTATTTCAAATAGCAGCGTCACCTACTACGGGAAGGTTTTACTGGAAATTGGAAGGTGACGTCCTTCTGAAAATTGACTAATGAATACCCTATGGATCCCAACAGAATATGTTGTTGTTGTTGTTAAGTGCTGTGGAGTCGCTTCCAACTCATAGCGACCCTGTACAGGGTTTCCGAGGCTGTAAATCTTTATGGGAGCAGAAAGCCTCCTCTTTCTTCCGCAGAACAGCTGGTAGTTTCGAACTGCTGACCTTGCGGTTCACAGCCTGATTCATAACCACTACGTTACAGAATATGAGGGGGTTATAAAACATTTGTAGAAAAATGGAAGAAAAAGATAATGGAATTTTTCTACAAACTTTTTGGAAGCTTCCTCATATGGTTCAATATACTAGTGCTAGAAGAGGAGCTCCCAGGTTAAGAAGGTGCTACGTGATTCTCGATTCTCGTAACAATGAACTTGCACGAACCAATGATCTTGAAGTTGGTGCGGATCCACATGGTGTCACCATGAGTCAGAGGCAGCTGTAGACAGCTAACAGCAGTTAGTTCCCTTTTCACATCAGCCAAGGTAAGTTATGGCAGCAGCTCAAATGGGGACTCCCCTGACTTGGCCACCCTCAGTCTGACTCAGCTAGTCTGCCCCAGGTTCTACCCAACAGAGCCACCCAGCAAGCAGGTAGTTCCACTCAGAGGGCTCTGGTTTTCATGAGCCAAATCTTACTTCAAATAACACCTACCAGATAAAGAAAAAGGAGCTCTGGTAGTGTAGTGGTTACAAGTTGGGCTGCTAACCTCAAGGCCAGCAGTTCAAAACTACCAGCGATTCCAGGGGAGAAAGATGAGGCTCCCATAAAGATTTGCAGCCTCAGAAGCCCCTATACAGGGTCGCCATGAGTTGGAACCAACTCCACGGCACATTACCACCACAACCACCAGATGAAAACACTGAAATGGGGACAATATTTCACGTTGCCACGTCTCTTTCATTGTGTTCTGATGAATGCTTTTTACGAGTTGGTTCTCCATGACTCAGGGATTCCCTCTCTAAGTATTTGTCTGTTTTCATGGCAGCATATCTACCAGAATCTTCCACGTCCTGACCCACTATTGGTTGTTCATGTGGAAATGCAGTCATGTTTCCATGACCACGTCTACAACTTCTGCTGAGTGTAGACTTCCTCTTTGTTCATCATTTGATGATCAGGACAAGTAAACGTCTGGCTGAAAAACATCTGGTCAGTGTTTAAGTTTCATCTCAGCAACGACGGACACAACAGTCTTTCTGTATAGGTGACAAATTCCTTTCTCCTGTTAAAGATTTTCTACTAAAGAGGTCACATTTAAATGGTTCATGGTTTTTTATGTTCTTATTGTTAATTCTTTACCTAATCTAGTATCTGATAATACTATCTGTTACTTCTTCAAAGAATTTCAAATGTCTGAGAAACTCAAAACTTTGAAAGACTTCAATGATCAAAAGCCATTTGAATCTCGTTTTGGCTATTGTGTTTGTCCTACACGAGGCAATGACAGTGTTTGAGTTCCATATCGTACAGGTAAAAAAAAAATATAAAATCCTTCCACTCCCTCAAAATGGGATCTCAGGTATTTGCCTTTTGGGTTTTTTTGTTTTTTTTTAATACCTTCAACGCCGATTTCAATGGTCTCATAAAATTCACAATTCTGAATATTTGGTTTTTAGAAATCCCATTCTACCCTAAGCCATATAAAAGTTTTATGGGTTACCCTTAGCATGAAAAGGAGAAGTTGAGCTGGACCACCGCAGTAAGACTTTTTATTAAATTTAACTCTGACATGAACAGTGTCCTTGCAGATGTCTCCAGTTCATGTAATAACTCATTTACCAGTCTGTAGGAAAGCTAGGAGGGACCGGTCACAGCCTCAAGTGTAAAGCACTGAATTCATATTCTCCATCTGGTGTTTCACATACTATTTTTAATTCTGATTTTGAAACCACTCGCCAAATTTCTGTATATAAATCAATGGCTGAAATGATTTTTACTGGTTTCAAATTGATCTAACAGACTATTCTAAGTTTAGACTGTACACTGAATTTAGCTATAGAAATGAGTTCTCCATAACCTACTCTTTTAGAAGGAGGACTTGAAGACCTGAAAAAATCTGTCTTAACACTTTTCCAACTATGTGCCAATGCCTCTGATATCCTGTCTCACAAGGTGAATCATAAATCACTGAGAGATTGAACAGCATTCTCCTTTACAAATTCAAAGCCAGTTTTCTTCTTGGGAATTCTAGCTGTATGTGTGTGTGTGTGTGTGTGTGTGTGTGTGTGTGTGTGTGTGTGAGTTTCCCCTCCAGCATCTGACATGTCTTGTGGAGGGACTCTCATGAATTCCAACATCTAAAAGAACCCTAAGTACCACATATTGGAATGTTAGATCTCCAGGATGAACAGAAATATTTATTTTAGTAGGGCAGGGCATATGTTCCAGACAGTCTCTTAAAGATTGAACAAGCGTCCATTCTGAGTGTAGGCACTCACCTTGACAGGGCAGAGGGTTCTAGAATATTCTCAAGATATGCATGCCTCCTTAAATTATTAATATTAAATCATGGCTATGAAGAGTACTATGTGAAGTCCTAAGTCTGTGTCCCAACCATTTGCCTCTAGATAGAAGACTCCTCAAAGATGGCACCAATGTCTGCCAACGCTCCATGACCTTGAATCTGTCATTGGATTTTATTGTTGTAACTAAAAAACACAGCATGATTCTGGTTCTTATAAAAGTCTTCTTTTTTTAAAGGGCTAATTCCCTTCATACCCTATATTCACCTCAAGCGTCTGTCCATCACCCTCCAAGAAGACTAACTAAATCTTACGTCTTCCAGTTCAGAGCCTATATGAGGGCATAATTCATAAAGTCCAGTTCACCTTAGCAGTCCACATAGCCTTCTAAGGCATTTTCCACTTCTAACTTCTTCTTTCTACAAAACCATGGGCTGTAATATGGAAATGCTAATGAAGTCCTCCCTCAGTTACTCTTTCAAGTCTAAATTCTCATCAGTAGTATTTGGTTTGAGCAGAAATTCCACATCTTGCTTTAACCTAGACCACGTGCAGGCATACTTTAACCATCACTGACGTCACCCATCTAAGCATCAGAGGTGGAGATGCAGTTCTCAGTGTCAGGAGGCTCCCAGAAGTCCTGCTGCTAATATAATGCAAAATGCTCCATTTTCATAGGCTAGCACTGAACTTCAAACCACAAGGTTGACAGTTCAAACCCACCAGCTGGTCCTCAGAAACTATACAGGGTCACTGTGAATCACAACAGACTCGATGGCACTTAACAAATGCTACACCCATTAATCTAAACTGGCTGACTTCTTGTGCTTGCCTGGGAATCTTAATCCCCAGGGAAAAAGGAGACAGTGGGCTCACGGGACCAATTATAATGAAGATCTATGAAAGCTGGGTGAAGGTTTTCCATCCCTGGAAAAGCGGAGTACAGTATGAAACCCATTATTTCTATACCCCTCACCATGCCCCGACATCATTGCATCCTGCAGCATCTGGCTCAGGACTCTGCTTCAATCCCATAGCTGCCTTACAGTCAAGGGTAGAGTCTGTCCACAGAGACAGGGGCGTCCTCCATATAATTTGCTCAGCTGAGACCCGTCTCAGTTGCAACTCAAATACCCACACTTGACCATTTCCAACTGTGGATATTACTGTAGACTCTAGACATTTAAAAAAGTGTCTTGGAAGGGATAAGTGTCATTTTTGAAAAACAACTGTGAACGATTTGCTTTATAAAAGAGTTTAATGCAGCTCGAAAAAAAAGATGGGTAATTGTTGAAACAATTCATAGTAATCACACCCATATTACTAAGGGAAACGGAGAGTGAACAGAGCTAGGAACAAAGCAATATGAGGAAGAACATATTGGGAAGACAGTAAACAAAGAGTTTGAGGAAGATACACCTGGAAATAGTGTTGAAAATGAAATCAGCAAAGAAAGTGGCAGGGACAGAGAAAGGCACAGAGAGAGAGAGGGAGACTGAGATTTTGGTTCAGATGATTGATTAGAGGTAACCACTGAGATACAGAATAACTATTTTAAAAGCTACTGTTCTGTTTTTCAGTGCCGTCAAATCAGTTCTAACCCATATCGACCCTATGAGTATCGGGTTTCCATGGAGCAGTTGGTGGGTTTGAACTGCCAACCTTGAGGTTCACAGTCTAGTGTTGATCCTACAGTACCACACCAAGTGTGGTCTGTGGACCAGCAACATCAGCATTATCTGGCAGCCAAATAGGAAGGCAGACGCCACCCAGATTTCACTGGATCTGAACTTGCTTTCTGACATGATTTCCAGGTGGTTGTGATGTGCTGTGGAGTCGGTTCCGGCTCATAGCGACCCTGCACAGGGTTTCCGGGGCTGTGAATCTTTATGGGAGCAGAAAGCCTCATATTTGTCCCGCGGAGCAGCTGGTGGTTTCGAACTGCTGACCTGAAGGTTTGCAACCCGATTTATAACCACTAGTAAGCACAGTAAGGAGCTCTGGTAGCATAGTGGTTATGAATCGGGCTGCTAACCTCAAGGTTGGCAGTTCGAAACTACCAGCTGTTCCACGGGAGAAAGATGAGGCGTTTTGCTCCCGTAAGGATTTACAGCCTCGGAAACCCTGTGCAGGGTCACTATGAGTCGGAACTGACTCCACGGTACTTAACAACAACAACAACAGTAAGCACAGAAAAATTTGCCAAGTGTTAGGTTAGTGGATTGGTATATGAAAATCATGATTGTGGTGAGGAATACTGAATATGCCGTACACTGACTTAAGAATGAAGAAATCTTTCTTGGATGACGTACAGCCAGAATACTTCTTTGAAGTGAAGATGGCAGAACTTTGTCTCACTAACTTTGGACATTTTATTAGGAAGGGACCGGTCCCTGGAGAAAGACATCACGCTTGGTAAACAACAGGATCAGCCAAAAAAGAGGATGGTCCTCAGTGAGATGGGTTGACAAAGTGGCTCCAATAATGAGTTGAAACACAGTAACAATGATTGTGAGGATGGCCCAAGGCCATACAACGGTTTCGTTCTATTGTACATAAGGTATTAGGAGTTGGTACCAATACGTCGGTACCAGCAACAACACTGTGCAAAGACAATTTGCCAAGAGACAATGAAAACACTGTGAGTCAATGAACCATCTCCTTTACTGCAGCTGCTGTTGTTGTTATTAAGTGTCACCGAGGCAGTCCCTACTCATAGTGACCCTATATAGGGTTCCTGAGGAGCGGGCTGGTGGGTTTGAATCACTGAACTTGCAGTTAGCAGTCCAGTGCTTACCCGACAGAGCCATACTAGGACTCTTTAGAACAGTTGTTGTTAAGTGCTGTCGTGTTGGTTCCAACCCATAGCAATACGCTACAGGATTTCCAAGGAGCAGCTGGTGAACTTGAACCACCGACCTTGAGGTTCAAATTGACTTTGAAGTCTAAA